ACCGGCACCACCACCACTACTGTAACCGTAAGACAACCACCTAATGTTTCGGCCGGGGCCAATGTATCAACCTGTTCCGGAACGGCCACTACCCTCAATGCCAGCGGTGCCGCTACTTATAGCTGGACACCCGCTACCGGCCTGAGCTGCAGCAACTGTCCCAGCCCTTCCGCCAACCCAACAGCGACAACAACTTATACAGTAACCGGTACCGATGCTTTTGGCTGCAGAGATACAGGGATGGTGACCGTAACCGTTCTTCCACGACCAGTGATCACTACCAGCAATCAAAGTATATGCGCCGGTGGCACTGCCGTACTTTCTGCCAATGGCGGCACCAACTATGTATGGTCACCAGGCACGGGGTTAAACTGTACCAATTGCCCCAGCCCCGAGGCAACACCTGCCGCTACCACCAACTATACGGTAACAGGAACCGGCACCAACGGCTGTACCAATACGGCACAGTCACTCGTTACCGTTAACCCAATACCCGTAATCGCAGTAAGTGGCAATCTGGTAATATGCCCGGGGTCTGGCACATCACTCACCGCCAGTGGTGCGGCAACTTATGTATGGACGCCGGCAACCGGGCTGAGTTGTAACAACTGTACCAATCCTACAGCCACACCGGAAACCACCACCACCTATACTGTAACAGGCACCAGCGCGGCAGGATGTGTTGGCAGAACTACGGTAACAGTGACGGTACGCCCCGCACCGGTGGTGACAGCAGGAAGTGATCAATCGACCTGCCTGGGTACACCGGTAGCATTAGCTGCAAATGGCGCAAGCACTTATGTATGGACTCCAGCCACGGGGTTAAGTTGTACTGCCTGCCAATCACCTGCAGCCAATCCTACGACAACAACAACCTATATTGTTACCGGTACCGATGGATTCGGTTGTAAAGACACCGGGCGGGTGACCGTTGCCATTAAGCCACTGCCGGCTATCCGCGCAACGCGGGATACCAGTATCTGTAAACTAACCTCTGTACAGCTGGATGCTACCGGCGGCACTAACTATACCTGGTCGCCGGCTACCGGCCTTAGCTGCACCAACTGCCCGGATCCCGTAGCCACACCAACTGCCAATATTACCTATACAGTGACCGGTACCGGTACCAATGGCTGTTTGAATACAGCCCAGGTCGCCGTAACCCAACGCCAGCAGCCGCCTGTTAATGCAGGCCCCGACCAGACGATCTGTGCGGGTAAAAATGCTTCTCTGACCGCTACAGGAGCCAGCACTTATGTATGGTCGCCGGCAGCCAGCCTTAGCTGCAGCAATTGCGCCAATACCATTGCGATGCCTTCGCTGACGACAACTTACCAGGTAACCGGCACTGATATTTATGGCTGTATTGACTCCGATAA